CTCGAGGATCACAAAACAAGGTGTGAAGTAACCATGCAAATTACTTGGTACCCTTAATGTATTACCCCTCAATCGATGTTCCGGTTAACCACACACGCTCCATCGATACTATGATAAACATTAAGTCACCCTTTACCTACCTTGTTAAGTTCAAGTTAGTGTGTCGGTTAACCACACACGCTCCACTAACGACTTAAACAAAGTGTAAAGTGTAATTTCATGGATTAGCACCTTATTCACATTTTCCTAAAATAACTAAGATTGGGAATTCAATAAAGTTTAGTTACTTTAGTATTATCATTATACTTTTAATGAGAATTTATAAGTCCTTGTCCTACCCGTTCGGCTAACGACCCTCCACCGATCAAGGAAGCGGTGGGTGAGAGTGGACACCCATTAAGTTGCCATTTTATAGGCAACAACCTTATACCCCCCTTATAGACCGCTTCGTGAATGAGGCGTACTAGCGGTAAGACGACTTGATCTTATACATATATAAATATTATTAAACTTATAATATTATAAAGTATAAGGGTTGAATTTTAACTTTTAAAATTCTAGGGGTTGGAACTAAAGTTTTTAATATGACTTTACATGTTCCAAAACTTGAGGGCAAGTTTTGTAAACTTTCAAAACTTTTCATTTCTCATAACTTATGAGTTAATGGTTATTAAAAATGAAGACTCTTCATTTTTTGTAACCTATGTGTTCTTTTAATGGTTATTTATAAATGTGACTTTTGGTTATCCATAACTTAAGAACTAGTTATGGACTCCATTAAAACACATAAAGATCAAGAATTAATCTAATCAATTATTAGCACATAATTTCTATGATCTTCTAAACTCATATGTTTATGAATGTTCATATCAAAAATTTCAAGAATCGTAAGTACATATACAAAACTTGAAATTTTGATACGAGCTTTTGAACAAAACTTCGATTTTCAAGTTTTTTTTTTTTTTTTTTTTTTTTTGCATCAAGTATCAAATAAACAAACCAGGCTCTGATACCACTGATGGGTTTTCAGAGCATTCTAACACTCATATGGTGTACATGCAACCCTAAAAACCTTGGATCTATGTTTGACTATGATACATGCAAATAATTATTTTTCCAAGGTTCTTATCCTATCTAGCTTGGCATGGGGAACTTGAATCAAATAAAGCTAGTAGAATTACTTACCTTGTAGTTGTAGTTGATTGCTTGGAGTTTTAGAGCCTAGCACCAATAGTGTGGATGCCTCAAATGAAATTCACAAATCACCACAAACTTGGAACTTTGAGAGAATAGTAATCACCTTCTTGAAATCGGCCCTCTTAAATTACTCACCACAACTCTTGTGATTTCAAGAACCAAAGCCTCCTTTATATAGTGTGGTGGATTAGGGTTACATTCATGTAAACCTAATACCTGTGTCTTTTAATTTCCATGAGATCCATGGGTTAAAGCTCCATGGAGTATCCATGGACTTTCCATTCAAGCCTAGCCCATTCCAAATAAGCATTAGCCCACACTATATAAATACAAGAGCCCATATTTAATTAGTCATACTTTTGATCTCTAAATTAATTCTAGATTAATTATAGATCAATACTAATTAAATAATATGATTTTATATTAATATATTAGGACTTATAATATATTAATAAATCATAACTTATACTATTCTCAAACGATTATCCATAAATTGTTCGGGTGAAGTGCAACCCAAATGGACCATGCCGGGTCGGGTCAAGTACATACCAAATATAGTTATGGACTTAGACACTATATCCAACACTATCATGGTGAATCTTTTATTCCTCTAGTCGTCTTTCCAAGTAACGAAATGGTCGATTTAATCGACGATGTGATGTGGGAGTCGAGAGAAAATGATACCAACCTTGATGAAGGAACCTCGAATACAAGGGGTAGCGGTGTGGATGATGATTTTGCATAGTTGTTGGAAGAAGTGGAAACTAAATCGTATCCTGGTTGCATCTTTTCTTCCCTTGAGTTTCTAGCAAAGTTAATGCATATCATGGTGAACAACAAATGGACTGATAGTTCGTTTGATCAACTCCTTGAGTTGTTGCAATTAGCGTTTCCCAAAGGCAACAAGGTTCCCCTTTCACATTATCTAGCCAAAAAGAGACTGAAGTCTATTGGTCTGGGGTATGAGTCGATACATGTGTGCAAAAACGATTGTTGTCTCTTTTGGAAAGAACACGATTCATAGCAAGTTTGTCCTGTTTGTAAAGAGAGCCGATGGATCGATAAAAACACCAAGGGTAAGAAAGTACCTCATAAGGTGTTACAGTACTTTCCTGTGACCCCTAGACTACGACGTTTATATTGTTCGAGGCACACTGCCAAAAATATGATTTGGCATAGTACCGGACGTTCAGAAGATGGTGTGATGCTTCATCCTGTTGATGGGGAACATTGGCAAGATTTGATAAAAAATACCCCGACTTCTCGAGTGAACCCCGTAACGTACGCTTAGGTCTTTCAGGTGACGGTTTCAATCCATTTGGAAACATGTGTAATCCACATAGCACATGGCCGTGTCCAAAATGTTGACAATGGCTCACACAAAAATGTAGACAATGTAGATGTACTTCAAAATATCTCTTCATCCGATGCTCCACTTTTTATCGATTTCAGCATGTACTTTCAAAACATTCCTAGAGTCATTGTTGATGTAGAAAGTGAAACTGAAGTTCCTCCTCCAACTGGTAGAGTCAATGATGTTTCTGATTGCGAGACTGATTACGATGAGACTGATTCTGATTATGATACCGAAGAAGACACTGAAGGATATGACGAAGATTCTGATTAGAATAGTTCTTATGTAATACGTGTTTGTAATATGAACTTTATTTGGATTTCTTGTTTAAATAGAAATGTTTATTCCTACGTAAATGTTTATTTCTATGTAATGTGTATTTGTAATAAAAATTGTATTTGTATATCTTATAATTTTTCAGGAAATGATGACAATATGGCTTTTGTTTATGTATACCATGGCTGCTGTTATGGGTCGTGGACACGGGGGTGATGGAGCTGAGGACCCACCTCTCCCAGGTTATAAATTAAATACCGTTTTTAATTTATTTACTATTTTTATTTATGAATTTTTATTTACTATTTTTGTTCAGTTATTATAAATTAAATACCGTTTCTAATAATTTTTAATTACATTTGTAGTTGAGCAACCTGCACGAAGGAAAGTTCGAGGCAAAGCGAAAAATATAAAGCTTGAAAAAGCGATCTTACGGAACCAGGGCAAACCGATTAGCATGAAATATGATAGGATATCACATTTGATCCCGTACGAGAGCCGAAAGACATGTTTTCCCGAGAATTTGGAAAAACAATGTTCCCTTTTGATAAATGGACTTGGAAAAAAGTTTCCCCTGCAATACAGGACACCGTATTACAACATTTAGCGGTAATTATTTATTTAAATATATTTTATATGGTTAACTATAATTGTTTTTTACTTGGTTAACTTTTTTTTTGTAGACAAAGTTTGATTTGGATCAGATGTACCGGGATGTACAAGCTAATATGTTGACAGAGAGTTTTCAAGCAGCTTTGTTAAGAGGTTATCGAGAACGTAAAGCTGACGCAAAAGAATATTTTATGTCAGTCTATGAAGATATCCCGGGAGCATTAGCCAACCCTCCAAAGGGTATGGAAGTTGATAACTGGAAGAAAGCAGTTGAGTATTTCCAAACAGACGAACACATAATTGCTTCAGAAAGGAACAAAAAAATCCGTGAAAAGCAAACAAATGTGAATCGTGGGGGGTCGAGCTCGTATAGCAGTACTTGCTTTAAGAAGGTAACGTACGATACATGTAATTATTTATTTAAAATATAATCTAATTTTTAAAGTTAAACAGAACCTGAAGAGAGTGGAAACGTTTCGCAAAGCTCATACCGATAAGAATGGTGTATTTATTACTGCTGAGGCTAAACAACAATATGTAAGTATTTAATTATAATTTTATCATATAATTAAATGTTTATTTATACTTAATTGTTATTCACTTTTGGGAGTTACAGAATCAGTTAGTTGAAGAGCTGTTAGAACAAACTCAAGGTGAAAGTCAGTTAACACCCGCTCAAGAAAGAGCTGCGTTTGAGAAAGTATTAGGAGAGCGACGTGGCCATATTAGAGGCATTGGCCATAAACCTTATGCTCTCCCGCCGATTCCACAGCCTTCGCAACCATCACCACAACCATCACAGGTAAAACAATCTACTTTGGTTTTGTGGTGATTATTTGCTTGGTAATTACCATCACCACAACCATCACAGGTAAAACAATCTACTTTGGTTTTGTGGTGATTATTTGCTAAAAAGTTTGGTAATTACTTTGTCCCAAGTGCAAAAAATAACAACGTACTTTGGTTTTGTGGTTTATACTTTAGCATCGTAAAAATTTTGGTTTTGTGGTGATTATTTGCTAAAAAGTTTGGTAATTAGGTTTTTGTCCCAAGTGCAAAAAATAACAACGTACTTTGGTTTTTGTCTTAGTTTAAAAATAGCAATCTACTTTAGCATCGTAACATGCATGTTGATTTGGTAATTTTGGTTTTGTGGTGATTATTTGCTAAAAAGTTTGGTAATTAGGTTTTTGTCCCAAGTGCAAAAAATAACAACGTACTTTGGTTTTTTGTCTTAGTTTAAAAATAGCAATCTACTTTAGCATCGTAAAATACATGTTGATTTGGTAATTTTGGTTTTGTGGTGATTATTTGCTAAAAGTTTGGTAACTAGGTTTTTGTCCCAAGTGCAAAAAATAACAACGTACTTTGGTATTTTGTCTTAGTTTAAAAATAACAATGTATTTTGATAGTTTTTGTTTATGTTTGATAATTTAACTTATAAGTTTATATATGTTGTTATTAATTATGTAGTTGGAAAATCTTCGTGCAATGTTGAACGACCCGACATGTAGGGATGAGCTGTATTCGTTTTTTCAATCCTAAAATAATTGAGGAAACGATGGGAACGAAGATGATGGTATGTAGGCCAGGATGAGTTTTATTTGCATACGTTGTCACGCTTTGCTACTTGGTAGATTGTAAAACTTTGGTTGTTTTTTGTAATTACCGGCGACACTAATTCCGGACGACATTTTTACTTTTTATATTTAATCGGATATTATGACTTTTGATATTTAATTAATTATAATCGGATGTTTGTTTTGTAATTAGCGTCAACACTATTATATTTGATATTTAATCGAATGTTGTTATGTAATTACTGAGTACATTATTATCGGCAACCAAAATCGTTAATTACAAAAAAAAAAATTTAAAAATGAAAATTGTAATAGCGACGAAGTAGTAGCGGCGACATCTATTACCGACGACTTATTACCGGCGACGCATCGCCGTTATTACTATTACCGGCGACAACTTGACTTATTACCGGCGACTTTTGTCGCCGCTAATGATCGTTTTCCTTGTAAATTTACATTTGTATAACTTGTTCAAAAATCAAAACTGATACACTGTTAACTGTTCATGAATAATCATCACACTAGCGGCGACAAGTTCATCATTAGCGGCGACTTATTACCGGCGACGCGTCGTCGCTATTACTATTACCGGCGACAACTTGACTTATTACCGGCGAAAGTCGCCGCTAATGATCGTTTTCCTTGTAAATTTACATTTGTATAACTTGTTCAAAAGCAATCAAAACTGATACACTGTTAACTGTTCATGAATAATCATCACACTAGGATGGAGTTGCACTTCAGTTTAAATCAGTCACAACCGGAAAATTCCTTGCTGCAGAGCTCGGCGATGGTTCAATCATCGTCGCCAACCGTACATCTGCTTCCGGATGGGAAACTTTTCGGGTAATTTCATTTGATTTTTCAGTGAGAGAAAGTTTGTTATGTAATAGCGATGATATTCAAGTTGTTTATTTTGTTCATCTGTGAAGTTATGGAGGATCAATGAGACCAGTTTTCACGTAAGAGTGTTCAGCAAACAGTTTCTAGAAATTGAATCGATGGGAACGAAAGTGGTCGCTACTTCTACAGATTGTGAAACATCCGGGATTTTCCAGATTATTAGAAAATCTGATGATCCAAGTCGTGTTCGGATCAAAGCACCAAATGGGTTGTTCTTGCAGGTTCTTTAACTTATGTTGTTACTATCTTTTTGTTTTAAACGATGATTCTTACAAGAATAAGTTGGTTGATTCAAATTTTTGTTGTGTGCTTAATGTTAGGAACCGGACCGGGTACATGCAGCGGAAACACACTATCACACACACACAAACTCACGAAAATAAAGCAAGAAGAACACAAGGATTTTACGTGGTTCGGATTCGGTGCAAATCCTACATCCACGGGCTGCAACTAGAGAATTTTATTAAAACTCACAAGATTACAATTGGCTTGACACTCTACACTTGATGTTCTCTCAAGTTTTTGCACACAAAATATGCAAAACATACATGCATATATATAGGTGAGAGAGCCGCAATTTGCACATGAAATTGAGTCGTAGTAACAATAGTACTCAAATGTGAAAGCCGCAAATGTTGAGTCGTCGTGACAATAGTACTCAAATGTGAAAGCCGCAAATGTTGACGTTGAATTTCCTTCCATTCACATTAGCCGTCCAATAATTGATTCTTTTATTTCACATGCATAGCCACATGTTTTCAACCTTTCATATTTTACCTAACAATCTCCCACTTGAAAGTTTGAACAACATGGTCCGTCTCTGTCATCCAACTCCAGTAATCTTAAAACAACCAAGTCTTCCAAGCCTCCAGTTCCTAAGAACAAGCTAAACTTAGTCTCATTTCTCTAATTGCAGCCGCCCCTCATCTTCAAGTACTAGAAGGGACAATTGAAGCTCCCACTAGCTCCAACTCAGTCATGGCTAATCCCACCACCGACTCATCCTCTGTCTCAACCGGTTTGGACACTCCACCAGATCCAGAGATACACCGAGAACCACTAACACTCTCCCAACTTTGCAAACTTTCAACAGGAGAGACTTTTTCAGTCTTAGTCTTCAAAAAACCCAACGGCTCTTTGTAACTGTACCCGAAACACACCCCGTGCTCCCACTGTCACAGAATCTCCTGAATGGTTTAGAATTTCTGACTCGTTCAGCTAACATCCCCCTGGCTCCAGAATTCATGTTTGCAAAATGAACTCTCTTAGCCGTAGATTTAGCGAACCAGATTTTGTCTTGCTTAACAGGGACGGTCATACTTCCCTCAGCAGATACCTCAACCATATACAATGACCCACACTTCATACCATGAGCAATCACTAGATTATCATTGATCACCCTCCATTTACCACCACCAAACCTTACTTCCAGTCCTTGTTTATCCAGCTGACCAACAGAAATCAATTTCTTCTTCAGCTCCGGAATCACCCTGACATCCTTCAGGCTCCATGTAGTTCCCAATGAAGTAACCAAATCAATATCTCCCATGCCCGTTACCTGAAGCATCTCGTCATTTGCCAAACGTACCTTTCCAAAATCTCCTTCTTTTAGATTCACCATCGTTTCCCCGTTGTCCATGGCGTGAAACGAAGCCCCTGAATCCATGACCCAAGAGTCTACAGAACTTTCCATACTGAGTATCAATGCATCATCCTCAAACACACTCTCAGCACCGGCAATGTTCAATTCTTTCTTTGGACATTGACTCTTAACATGTCCCACCTCCTGGCAGTTCCAGCACTTCACATTCTTCTTAGTTCTAGATGAACTTCTTCCCCGACTCCCACTGACTCCCACTGCTTCCACTATTCCTTCTATTTCCCTTACCTCTTCTGACATTTAATAAATCAGAAGAGGAAGATCCACCTTGATTCTTGCGTCTGATATCCTCGCCTAGAACCAAATCTCTAACCCCTTCAAAAGTCATACCACTGGTCCCCACGGAACTCGTAACAGCAGTAACTGTTCCGGACCAGCTATCAGGTAGAGAAGCTAGTAGCAGTGATGCTTGAGTCTCGTTATCAAATTTAATTCCCACAGATGATAATCTGGACAGAATTGAATTTAGATTGTTAATGTGAACCGTAACTGAGCCTTCCTCATTCATCCTTGTAGTGAACAGCTCCTTCATCAAGAACACCTTGTTAGCCGCCGATGGTTTCTCATACATATTTGACAGAGCCTCCATCATACCACGTGCCGTGGTTACATTCATGATGTTGAAAGCAACGCTCTTCGTCAACGACAATGTAATAACCGCCTTGGCTTTCTTGTCCTTTGAGTTCCACGCATCTTCAGCAGCTTTTTCCATTTTCTCCGGTTTGTCTCCGAGTACCACGTCCAAGTCTTTCTGACATAGCAATGCTTCTAGTTGCATTTTCCACCAGCTAAAATCAGAACCGTTGAACTTTTCGATTACAACCTTGTCTTCAGCCATTACGACAAACAAGATACAAATCAGGTACACTCGTGCGTGATAAAAAAAATGATTGTACCCTCCAAACCTCGCTAATCTGGCTCTGATACCAGTTGTTAGGAACCGGACCGGGTACATGCAGCGGAAACACACTATCACACACACACAAACTCACGAAAATAAAGCAAGAAGAACACAAGGATTTTACGTGGTTCGGATTCGGTGCAAATCCTACATCCACGGGCTGCAACTAGAGAATTTTATTAAAACTCACAAGATTACAATTGGCTTGACACTTTACACTTGATGTTCTCTCAAGTTTTTGCACACAAAATATGCAAAACATACATGCATATATATAGGTGAGAGAGCCGCAATTTGCACATGAAATTGAGTCGTCGTAACAATAGTACTCAAATGTGAAAGCCGCAAATGTTGAGTCGTCGTGACAATAGTACTCAAATGTGAAAGCCGCAAATGTTGACGTTGAATTTCCTTCCATTCACATTAGCCGTCCAACAATTGATTCTTTTATTTCACATGCATAGCCACATGTTTTCAACCTTTCATATTTTACCTAACAGTTAAAGGCAAAAACCGAAGACCTTGTTACAGCTGATTCAAATGGAAATGGACAATGGGGAAATAACGATCCTTCGGTTTTTGAAATGACGATTGGACAAAGATTTCAAGGAGAGTATCAAGTTACTAATGGTTATGGTCCTTTGAACGCACCAAAAATCATGAAAGTAAGATTCTATTGGTTTATACCTACTTTTTACTTTTTTAGCTTTATCCGAAAGAATTAATATATTAAAAGAAGTCGTTAAGTGCTGGCCAATAATATTCAAAGTCAGAATATTATTATAATAAGTTTAAAGTTTTAACGGTTTTGACTTGTCAATGTCACTTTAGTCAAAGTTTCTAAAACGTGCAAAATCCTAACATAATATAATTTAATTAAACCTAAACTATGCATGATATTACGTTTTTTTCAGGATCATTGGGACACATTCATTGAGGAAAAAGACTTTAGTTTCATCGCTGAGAGCAGATTAAACGCTGTGAGGATTCCGGTAGGGTGGTGGACAGCCAAAGATCCAACACCGCCAAAACCTTACGTAGGAGGATCGTTAGAAGTCCTTGATAGGGCCTTCTTATGGGCAAAGTATGTGATCATATGTTCGTTTTTTAAGTTGATATTTAAATCATAGAATGAAAATTTGTCTAATAATATTTCGTATATTCTATTATTTTTGTGCATAGGAAATATAATTTGAAGATGATTTTGGATCTACATGCTGCGCCAGGGTCCCAAAATGGTTTTGAGCATAGCTCTACTCGTGATGGTTCTGTTGAATGGGGCCAAACCGATGAATCCATAGAAGAATCAGTTCGCGTCATAGAGTTCTATACTGCTAGGTACGTGCAAAAGATATAAATGTTTCCTTTCATCCTTAACATATAAAATGACTATATATAGACAATTTGTCTAGCATACTCTTTTCTTTTCTTATCTAGTTATGTTTCGGTGTAACAAACACAACTTTAGACACTAAAATATAGCAAATCTAATTGATATATTGTTTTCTCGATAGGTATGCGACAAATCCAAGTTTATATGCAGTTGAGCTCATAAACGAGCCTAATGCATTTGGAGTCTCGCTAAGCGTGTTGACAAAGTTTTACAGTGATGCATATACAGTTGTTCGAAGGCATGCTCCCAATGCTTTTGTAATTCTATCGAACCGGCTTAGTGGAGAACCAAAAGAGCTTTTTCCTCTTGCAAGCGGCATGAAGGACGTGGTCATTGATGTTCATTACTACAATCTTTTTTGGGATATTTTCAATGACATGACTATCGACCAAAACATTGATTTTATCAAAACAAACCGTTCAAATGAGCTACAAGACATCACAACATCAAATGGACCACTAACTTTTGTTGGTATGTATCGAAAACTTTATCACGGATTATAAATTTAATGAAACGACAAACTAATTTGTGATCGTGTAGGGGAATGGGTGGCTGAGTGGCAAGTAAGAGGAGCTACTAAAGAGGAGTATCAACGATTTTCAGAAGCTCAACTACAAGTGTGGGGGAAAGCTAGCTTCGGATGGGCTTATTGGTCGCTAAGAAACATCAACAACCATTGGAGCATGGATTGGATGATCAAAAATGGCTATATTAACCTTTAGAAGCGCTCGGAATTGTTCTTTTATCGTTCAACATTTTAGTTCTCAATTATTGCAATAAACAATATGATAAAAAATATATTTTGTTATTATTTTGGGAATGAGCCAAATAAATTAATCATTAGCTATAAGTTGAGACATAAACGTAGAGTGGGCAATGTTTGGAAATATTTGTTGTACTTTTTTAGACCTATCTGTACATGTAAGACTCTACAAAAATAACATGTAACAATGGTTGAACATTCTTATAATATTTTTGCAGCTTCTTATAATTACACTATCAGTGCACATGTTGTTTATCATGAAATTACTAAAGTTGTTTATATAAATCAACATTCTAAAAAGAATCAACATTCTGGAAATAATCATCGAATTTACAGAAAACATACTATCTAGAATTGTTATTATTCAATTCATAAGAATGTGTCATTTAAAGCCATGTTTTCATGATTGTTCACTATACTGTGTGCTTAAATTGCTACTACACATACTAACAACACTTGCATTCAAACACAAATAATGGCTATTCAATAAAAAAGAAATTCCATTATTATTCAAAAAAAAAAATTTGACAGCACCTCTAAAAAAAATCCTAAATAGCATGACAACTTTCTTAACCCATTGATAAAAATAAGAGCTTTTTTTCCATTTTTTTCAGCATTCCATCTAAACGATTTATAAATGTATTTTCGGTCATTTTTTATGAAAAATATTGTATAGAAAAACGTTGATATCGTTATGTTTGTGGTTTTTCATTTGTTATTGTGTATAGTTATTTTTGTTAGGGTATTAATTTGATATTTTTGGCTTGTTCGTTATATCAACGAAAGAGGTAAAGTGGAATGGATATTTATGGGTTGGATAGACATCATATCTATATTTTCTTATTTTTTTGTTACATACGAAAAGTGTCTCAGTCCTAGCCCTAGTGTGGCTGATCATCCGAAAAAAGACCAGCTAAACATCTTTGGCTTGGTGAACATTTACCTGACCAAACTACCTGATACTATTTTAGAGGAGTGACATTTAAAACACTTCAAAGGAGAAAATTGCAAGAAAAAATAAGAATATATGGATCCGATGCCCATCAAACCCCTTAAACCCATAGCCGTTTTAACCTTCTTTCTTTTCTATTACAATGATTTTTTTTTCCTTCACTCCACCAATATTTTAATTGTCATCGTACAATGAGTGAGATGGCAAACGGGCAACAAGCTGTGCCGCTAAGCCTTTTTGAATGGTAAAGCTAATCCTTTTAAAGACTACATCCGAAGATCTAGGGGATATAACATTACTATGCATGATTCATTGTACTCTTTTAAGAAGCTCTACCGCATCCGGTGCGAGGAAACCAAACGTATCAAATGCAAATGGTATGAACACGTGTTGATTTTCCATGCACGATTTCTCATGTTTGGTGACTTTGCCTGTAGCTGCTTTTAAAGCAGCATGTCCCGCCGTGAAACCCCCAGCCCTCAGGCCCATGAGAGGGGATACCCCTGTAAGATCCACACATGCGTGTTTCCCTCCTCCCCATCCAAAAATCAAAATGTCAGCCGGTCTGAGGGTTGACCTTCCTTCTGTCGGGTCAGTCAAGAAATTAACAGGTGCTTCTTTCTTAGCGGAAACCCCGGCACGCTTAAATATGTTAAACAAAACATCCCTAACCATATAGTGCCTGTATTTCAACCCCGAGAGTTCTTTACAGTGAACTGCATGCTCTCCAAAAGAGTCCAAACATGCCTTGCGACACACATGACATATATCGTCAGCTGGGAATATGGGAATCATGAGTCGATATTTGAGAATAGTACGATACTCCACGGGAGACATGTGTTGGCCAAGCCCATCTATAGGGATAGCTAGAAGAAAATCTTGAGCATGTGGTGCACGTAAGCACTGGAAAACCACTTTCTGCCGAGCCGTCATGTCGAGATGCACTTCCATATCTTGGACAATTTTACGAAAAAGGGCACTCGCCAGTGTATTCTGGGATTTAGGGGGGGGGGGGCGGTGTCTTTAGTAGTAAAATTGTTAAGGTCAAAATCTGGAAGCTTGTTGCGAAGGGATGCCAAGGCACAGTCATAATCAGAATCCATACCATGCAATATACCAAAAGCTATACCCGAGTATACCTAATAGGTAAGGAAGCAATTCGCCCAATGTCCTCAATCGCCCCGCGCAATCCATTGTCAAAAAATATTGCCGCCTCCTCCATGTGAACGGGTTGGCACGTCCTCAACCCAAAGAAAAGCTTAGCAATACCCATACAAGACCGAAGAAGAAGGAGCTCACTCTGGGGGTCAGACAATTGTTGAAGAAGGTGCATCAAATTCACAGCGTTTTTGGCTCTCTTTATGGCTAAGCTGCGAATGAAACTAGCATCTCTACTAACAGCTCCCCCAAGAAGTTTCACCCCCAAAGGCGGCCTCCTGATGTCCGCCGGAAATAGCCCCTCCCGTAACTTCCTACCATCACATGAGGGCCAAAAGAGCTCGTTTCTTGATATTCAGCTGAAGGCCCAATTTTGGGCCAATCACCGTAATGATGTCCAATGCTTTGGCCACCTCCTCCGAATCTCCGATAAGTGTGCCATCATCCAAGTACCATGCATGGAGGAGAAGCTTGCAATTGTCTCTAATCTTATGCAAGAGCGGGTGCAACACAATGGCAAAGAGAAGTGGTCCCAAGGGGTCTCCTTGCTGAACCCCAATAGAAGACCGAATGTGTGTGTTGCCTAGATATAACCTTGCTGCTTGACCATATAGGAATTCTACCCACAAGGAAATAGAGGGACACCTCAATCTGACCTCATGAAGTAATGCAGATCTGTCGATAAGGTTAAAGGCATTAGAGAAGTCCACGGTAAGCATGGAGAGAGATTTGTCATCGTGGCGCTCACTCAACAACCTATTGGCGCTATGTAAAACGGCCTCAGCGCCACCCGACACCCCGACTCTGAACTGAAAATCATTGAGATATTTGGCCATTTCTTTACCAACCCCCTTCATGGCCAACTTGGAAACCAAACGTCTCCATATAGTACCTACTGCAATAGGTCGTATTCCCTTGTCAGGTTTTAAGAGCGGCGTGAGAGGAGCAGAGGCAACAAATTCTGCCAAGCTCGAAGGGCATCTTCCCCCTAGCCATAGATTAACCACAGAAGTAATAGCACGTAGGAGGTCTTTGGCTATAGCTGAACCTTCTCCACAAAGGGCATCTAAAATGTGTTGAGCTCTCAACCCGTCCCTCCCACACGAGGTACCTTTAGGGAAGGATTTAATTCCCCCAAGGACATTGTCAACATCTACTACCAGGGGAGGTTCTGAAAATATGGTGTTAGGCATGGAAGGCGGTGGCTTGTATGGATGCTTATCCTCCAATGCCTTCGTGGTATCACCCCCAAATGGAGCAACCCCCGAAGAACATAAAACTTTCCCTGCTGCTGTAAAATGTCCATCGGCAACCTTACGAAGACATTGTCTGACATTGGAGCTGCCCGGTGTTCTTTTCTCCTGAATGTACTCTTCTTTTTTATCTTGTTGCTCCAGTCTTGCATTGTCAACTAAGTTTTTAACTAGCTTGGCGATACCGTCTTCAGTCCCCCAAGTAGCTAAAGCGCTCAAGATATTACGATGTTGCAAAGACTTCCTGTTGCCAGACCTACTTTCTTGCCTATTCTTGGGCCTGAACACCTGAAGAGTACACCTAGGAAGAATTAACAAAGCAACCCACGCTTCAACGGATCCGGGATGAGCAACCACCTTGGAAAGGGCTGCTTTCAAAGCCTGAGAGAAAGCCATACGACAGTTATGAGGGATGCTTTTGACAGTGGTGATAGGCAGCTTAAAAACACGATCAAGTAGTTGAGCATCCATCACCAACCCATCATTGAGGTCGGCTTCCGGTTCATTGGGTATCGGCTTTGGAATGCCAACAATATGCATGCTCATGTCATCAGCCCCGTCAATAAACTTAATCAAGCCACCCGGGTGGTGACATGAACGACTCAAGGCATGAAGCTTCATGCAATCCCCACATATCCATTGACCAAACTCCTTCAAAGTTGCTGCCACAGACATAAAAATCCAATGTCAGAAGTAATAGCCTCCCGTAACACAACTCTGCGTTCAACTGTATGGAGGTGTAAGCTCTTGAGATAAGATATCATACGGGAAATCCCTTGAATCCATATTTCCAATCAGTTGTTTATGTTGTTTTTGAAGTTTATATTTAAATCTTAGAACAAAAATCGTATAATAATATTTCGTACATTCAATTATTTTTGTGCATAGGAAATATAATTTGAAGGTGATTTTGGATCTACATGCTGCGCCAGGGTCCCAAAATGGTTTTGAGCATAGCTCTACTCGTGATGGTTCTGTTGAATGGGGCCAAACCGATGAATCCATAGAAGAATCGGTTCGCGTCATAGAGTTCTATACTGCTAGGTATGTGCAAAAGATATAAATGTTTCTTCATCCTTAACATATAAAATGACAATAGACAATTTGTCTAGCATACTATTGTTTGTCTTGTCTTTTCTTGTTTTGTCTGGTTATGTTTTCTGGGTAACAAACACAACACACTAAAATATAGCAAATCTAATTGATATATTGTTTTTTCGATAGGTATGCGACAAATCCAAGTTTATATGCAGTTGAGCTCATAAACGAGCCTAATGCATTTGGAGTCTCGCTAAGCGTGTTGTCAAAGTTTTACAGTGCTGCATATACAGTTGTTCGAAGGCATACTCCTAATGCTTTTGTAATTCTATCGAACCGGCTTAGTGGAGAACCAAAAGAGCTTTTTCCTCTTGCAAGCGGCATGAAGGACGTGGTCATTGTTCATTACTACAATCTTTTTTGGGATATTTTCAATGACATGACTATCAACCAAAACATTGACTTTATCAAAACGAACCGTTCAAATGAGCTACAAGACATCACAACATCAAATGGACCACTAACTTTTGTTGGTATGTATCGAAAACTTTATCGCGGATTATAAATTTAATGAAACAACAAACTAATTTGTGATCGTGTAGGGGAATGGGTGGCTGAGTGGCAAGTAAGAGGAGCTACTAAAGAGGAGTATCAACGATTTTCAGAAGCTCAACTACAAGTGTGGGGGAAAGCTAGTTTCGGATGGGCTTATTGGTCGCTAAGAAACATCAACAACCATTGGAGCATGCCAGCATGGATTGGATGATCAAAAATGGCTATATTAACCTTTACAAGCGTTCGGAATTGTTCTTTTATCGTTCAACATTTTAGTTCTCAATTATTGCAATAAACAATATGATAAAAATATATATTTTGTTATTATTTGGGAAAAAGCCAAATAAATTAATCATTAGTTATTAGTTGAGAGATAAACGTAGAGGGGGCAATGGTTGGAAATATTTGTTGTATTTTTTTAGACCTATTTGTACATGCATGTAAGAGTCTACAAAAATAATATGTAACGATGGTTGAACATTCTTATAATATTTTGCAGCTTCTTATAATTTCACTATCATGCAGTGCACATGTTATTTATCAATAAGTTACTAAAGTTGTTTATATAAATCAACATTCTAAAAGAAATCAACATTCTGGAAATAATCATCGAATTTATAGAATACATACTATCTAGAATTCTTATTTTTCATAAGAATGTGTCATTTAAAGATGTTGCTCCAACCTAGAAGTTCTTGGGCCACTCTTGATGCTTGTTGCGCCATCCTTTCACATATTGCGTCATCATGGTGCAAGATGGGTCATTTTGGTTCCTTGATGAGTCATGGTATCCCTGATGAGCCAAGTATGCTATGAAGTCTTCTATGATGCTCAAGATCGTTCAAGGATGCTCAGAAGTTGGTATTTCCCAAGGATTACACCATGTTGTGCAACCACAATGGATGTTGGACCATTAGTGTTCATGATGCGCCACTTGTACATCATGATCCTCCACCGTGGCACAAGGTGCTCCATCATGTGTGTTGCTGATGCTCATGGATTGTATGACATGGAACAATGTTCTAGAAGATGCTACATGGCAGAATATAATTGGTTGTCACCTTTTGTAGGCCTATGGGGTAATGGGTTTGACCTATTAAGGTTTTAGGTCTGATCCCTCAAGTATAAATAAGGATGCATGCAGAGTCATTTGAAGAGTCTTATGTCTTGTATCTTGTATCCTTAGTGAATAGGATGAATCTCTGGTGAATTGTACTTGTAACCTCTGTTTGAGAACTATAAAATAAAGAATACTCCCCTCCTGCCCGCGGACGTAGGTCACCTTGATCGAACCACGTAAATAATGTGTCTTTGTGTGCTTATAGTTTTGCTTGTTATCCGTATTACTTCCTAACAAGGGTCATCACAACTTGGCAAGTGACATCAGATTGGTTCTGAGTCTTGACAAGGATTGTCTGTTTTCCCCAACAGGTCATCATATATCATAATAGTTATACATTCAAAGATATAATTTCACTACATCAAAAATCACAATTTCAGAAATATCAGTCAACAGAAATCAAAAACCATATAACTTTAGAGAACTAACTTCATAAATTAGAAAACTTATGATTTCAGAAAATTAATTTCACAATATCAAATATCATAATTCGCAGAAAACTAATTTCACTGTGACACAAATTAAGAGAACCTAAGAATCAGAGAGAGAATTGACCTTAGAGAAATCAGATTTAGAGACCGGGATAGAGAATACAGTTCTGATTAGGGGGAATGACTCAATTTGGGAGAAACTGTAGAAACCTCAAAATGCGAGAATCTGATGGAATGGTGGAGCTGAATTAGGGTTAAGATTTATGTGAATTTAGGTAATGGAATATGATTTTGGAAACTTTATAATCATTAAGGAGTCGCGTAACTCTTCAAAACAAACGAGTTGACTTCTTATTTGGTCAATGTGACATAAGCAAATTGATCTAAGGGTGTAAAACCTATAAATGGAACAAAATCAATGGCTCTGATTGTTTAAGATGATGTCATAAGGTTTCAGTTTTAATATATATATATATATATATATATATATATATATATATATATATATATATATATATATATATATATATATATATATATGAGAGAGATAAGAAAGCACCCCGTTTAAATCAGACGCTCTCCCTTCCGTTTCGTTCACGTACGTCTTCTTCCCAATTCATCCGTTCTCCTACTATCACCCGGTCAAACCTCTATGTCTGCCATCGCTCCCTCTCCATCGATACGTTGCCTACCGCCTACCTCCCTTTCTATCCGCGTCGTCGACTACCCGCATTGTCAATTACGTTCTTCTACTTTTCACCGCTCCTCTCAAATTTCTGATTTCACAGGTTCACTCAGGAAATTACAAACATATAATTTCAATTTTCTCACTCTGCAATTGTAACGTCCTGAAAATCATAGGATACAAATTTCAATTTAGTAAGTATTCAAACATTCATTTATCATTATTCAAACATTTAAAGGTATTTCAGAGTAAACAATTATCAGAGTAAATTCCCAAAATCACAGATTGCGGAAAAACATGAGTGCATGCGTTGCGATCAAGCCGGACCCTTCCCTTTCGAACTGGAAGTACCTGAAACCATAAACCACAAACTGTAAGCACAAAGCTTAGTAACTTCCCCAAATACCATATACCATACATAATATATAAGCCATACATATCAAACATATGACAGAAGGTGATATGTGCCAACTATAGTCTTGCCATTATGCCACGAGCCGTATCATGGTCTTTCTTGCCAAGTCGGGGTCCAAAACCCTGGGTCTTACAGACAACTGCCAGGAGCCACCTCCTAATCTTCCATGCAAGAATCACAAAGACAACTAGCATACAATCTACAACTACTTAACCAATTAACTACAAGAGTTCAGACTCTGGTCTTGCATTCAGATTCCAGGATCCGCCTCCTGCTCTTTCATCCAAAGTGTCACGGGTCACCCCCGGGTCTTCCTATAATACATAAACCAAATGGGTGGCATTGGTGCCTTCGACCCATAGAACAGTGAGGAGACTCACCTCGATAGTTGAACCCACGAATAAATCTCTGACTGTTGATCCACTAGAATCCCCACGCTAACAAACAAATAACACCCAGTTAGCAATTGGGTTCCAAACCAAATCTAATAATCCAAACATGGGGTAAAAAGACCATTTTACCCCTCACCTAGTTTTGTCCAAGACTAAGGCCCAAACTCACAATCTAAAGGCCTACAAACCAAATAATCCTCTAAAGCCCACTTATGGCCCAATTTTCCAAATTGTGCCGAACCCTTACATTAACATTAGGAAATAGTCAAGTTATAGTTCAATACATATCGATTGAAGGCAAACGGGCCACAACCCTTACATGGTCCTTTGCCAAAAGCCCAATAACGTTTCCTGATCCAAAACATATTTCCAAAGCCGGTCCAACAAAACCCCAGGGAAATCAAGCCCAAAACGATAGCCCAGACCCAAAAGACACCACGAGGCTCAAGCCCATTGGGCCCACTATGGCCCAAAACCACAACCCTAGACCCAAAAATGCAAGCCCAAAAAAGAGTCAAAGACTCTAAAATTCCTCTATCCAATAAGCCCAAACCTAAGACCAAAGCCCGAAACATGAACAAGCCAAAAAGTCCACAGTTGAACGTACGCGGGGCGTTCCGCTAGGTACGCTCAGCATACTCGATAATCTCGGAGGGGGACTCAAACCAGTACGCGAGGCGTACTTGCATTTATGCGGGGCGTAAGTTCAACTTTTCCAAAACTCGATCCTGGCTTAATTCTTTAAGTCCTTTGCATCCAAACCTTAGAAAACCATCAATATAAGCTCTTAATGCATAAAGTCGGCACCATTATGCATTTTCATGACTCAATGGTACCCAACAACCATCTTAATCCATTAAGACCCATTCTGATTCAACTAGAATATGCATGGACCATTCTTAAACATCAAGCAAGCATTTTTATGAACTAACAACATCAAAAGATGCAAGATCTATCACCTCAAGCTCCTGCAGTGGCTCAAACTCACAAGGAGAACTTAATACACCATAAAAGCCCTTAATATTGCCCTAAACTCAAACTAGCATAAGAAGAAGTCAATATAAGAACTTTTTACCTCCTGAAGCTTACCAAGAGTGTGAAGATTCTAGATCTATAACCCCCAGGGCTACACCAAGCTTGATCACCAAGATCCACTTCCTTGAAATAACACTAAGAACCCTTCAAAATCACCTCCAAGTTAAAGAATGCACCAGCAAGGGGATTAGGATTCCAAATGAGACTCTAAGATCAATGGAGGCTGAGAAATGAGAGAACCTTGACCTTATAATAGTGTTTAAATAGTGCCTAAACCCCAAAAATTAGGGTTTGGCACTCTGCTCATTACGCTCGGCGTACCCCAGCTTACGTTGGGCGTACCAACCCAGGCACGCGTAATCCGTCCTTGCATGCATGGGACCGATTTGCCAACTATTTCCATTAAGGGACAAATCCTTTCTTCCCCAAGGTCCTAAGCCTCCTGACAACTGAAGATTGGGTCGCAGCCCCGAAGAATGAAGCAATCCGAAACCGAGTATTACAACTCTCCCCTATTTAAATTAGATTTTGTCCTCGAAATCGCTCCTTACTAACACCCAGATCACACCAACAACCCGAGGAACGCAACCGAAAATCCTAAACATAGAACGAACTTCCCAAGACAACTGATCCCAACCCAAACAGAAACTTCCAATCTGAAGAAGAACAAAATCATAGCCCCTGCAGAAACCGCTTTTATCTTTCCGAAACCTAAAATCTACCGTGGTCTGACTTCCCGACAGACCGCCCACGCTGAATCATTACCATACCAATTCCTTATCAAATAACAGACCAAACATACATTTCCAACCCTGATCATCTTGATGCTACCAACAGAACAAAGTCACTAACCATAACCAGATGCAGAACACCTATACCTGACAGACGGCTCAAATAATCCTTCGAGTAGAAGATTCATCCCTGCAACGGTTAGACTCAAACGAGAGCTGCACAACAAGGTCAAATCACTTACTCTGATATTATTTAATCCAAACTGCAAGTGACTTAGTATTTACCGAACCACAAGCTACTCTACACACACAAATCACAAATCACTAACACTGCCTGAAACATCACACTGCCTCCTAGTTGCTTCTAAAAGCAGCCGAGACCTCCCTGCTCCCAACTTGTCT